ACTATACTACATAGTTATAAAAGAGAGTAATGCTAGATGCTGTGTTTTTACATTACATATTAAGGGCTTGCAAGTGCTGAATTGTGCTGGTATATATTTGTGTTCATGAAATACTTTCCCTGAGTTCATTCCCTCCTGCTATTCTTACATCATTTCCCATCAATGCAACTAACACATGCCATTCAAAGAAGATACCAAGGGCATGCAGCATGCCCTTACAATGCTACTGTTACCCAAATCTGTAATGCTGTGTTGTGTGCGCTTACATACCTGTTTATCTGTTATCCAGGGGTACTGGTAGCAGAACTGCTCATCCAATATCTGTAGTAGATTCAAAGATAGAAACCTGAATTTACCTCTTCTTCTTTCTCTTCCTTCTATTTTGTCAGATTTATCTGCTTCTGGTATCTGTTTGCCAAATCAATATTTTCCAGCAATCCTACATATTCCATACATACTCAATACCTTAGTAGTTTCTTTGTAAGTATGATGAGCCCTACAGCAATTACATCCATTTTAGGGAAAGGACCATAGTTCAGTTCTAGAGTACAGTGGACCCTCGACTTACAGACGGCTCGACTTGCAGACTTTTCAATTTAGAGACTTCTCTGGCCACAAAATTTAGGTTCGACTTCCAGCCGGAAAATCGACCTACAGACCAGGAAAAAAACCAAAATGGAACAAAAATGGAACAAAAATGGCCGGTTATGGATTAATCGGTTTTCAATGCATTGTAGGTCAATGGAGACTCGACCTACAGACTTTTCAACCTGCAGCCACCGTTCCAATACGGATTAATTCCATAAGTAGTGGGTCCACTATACTGTACAAGCATTGCATGCAGATGGTTCTAGGTTCAATCCACAGCATTTCCAAGTACAGTTAGGAGGAGCTCCCATCTGAAACCAAGGAGAGGCATTGTCAGTTACTGTAGCCAATGCCCAGTCAGCATGGGTAATTATTTGACTCTGAATAAAATAACTTCTTATGTTGTCATGTGACATGAAAACGTACAGCTTTGTAAATGTGTTCAATCAGTGAAAAGAACTGAGACCCAGTTGTAGGTTATTGGCCACTTCTGTATGATCACATTAAAATGTTATTTCTTGATAGGAATGGTTAAAATTTTAATCGGAATGCATTTTAATTGCTTTCAAACCCACCCTGAGAGAATTTTGAAATGAGTACCACACTGTTCCTTTAAAACATGTGTTACTGTGAAATCAGATGACTACTGAGTCCCAGAAAAGTAAGATTTTTAATGACCCAGTCATAGTGTTTTATAGTGTGCTATTGGCTGGTAATTCACTTCAGTTTCTTGTTAATAATCTTGTAAGCAATTTTTGTGATTTTCAATTTCTAGCAGCAACATTTGCACCTGCTTCGTGATGCAATCTATCGGTAAGGTTGGGAGCGCAAACCTAATCTGTTATAGATATTAGATTTGTCATAAGCAGTTATCTTTAATGAGCTAATATTTTCAACATATTAGTCCCTAGAGAACTACAATTTAGATTAGTAATATTTGTGATGTGAACACTTGCCAATCAAATTTTTAATACTAGCCTTCCAGATGTAGCTGGATTAACCTTCGAAGCAAGTTATATGATTTATGGGCTAGCTTATTCACAGCATACCGGTAAACCTTTCTTTACAGATAGCACTCATTACTCCAGACGGGCTCTTGGAAAGTCTTGGACGACATTGAAATATTTCTACCATTTAGCTCCATTTAGCACCTCAGGCTATGAACTGCAGAATGTTTAATTTGATAGACTTCCAGATTCATTCTGCATTTAAGACACTAAAGCTACTTGACACATTATGTCAGGTGCTTTTTTAAAATAACATTACAATGTGCTATGTTGCTGGAAAGCAGTCACAAGACTTACTCAGTCATGAAGCTCATTGGGTAATTTAGGTCAGAGACTTATCTGAAGATGCCATAGTGAGGTATGAATGACCTTAGTGCTGGATAGTTATGAAGGGATGAAATGAAAAGGAAAGGTAGTAACACAGGGAAAGAATAATCAGTGAGTAGATGAAGGTTTTTGCCTTGGCCTCAGAGAAGGGGACCATGTATTTGCAGCAATTTAAAAGAAAAACTGACCTGACTCACTGATGGAGTCAATGTGGTGAACTAGAGAGAGACAGAGAGGGAAGAGAGGACAACAATTAAAATCAGTTGGATGCCTGTATCAATGGATTAAAAGTATATATGGGAAAAAGATGAGCAGTTCAGTCTTAGACATACTGAGTTTTGAGAAAACAAAAAAGCATCCAAGCAGAAATAGCAGCATGCTAGCTCACATTGCTATTTGGAACCCTGCTAATGTGTCAGATGACCAAACTGCCTCATGCACCAGCTGTGCTACACTTGGCAAGCGCTTGATCAGCCATCAATTTGTGCCTTTTGTTACACAGATGGAAAAAAGGGGATTCTGCAGATGTTGGCGAGAACAATCTACCCCACTCTGGTGTATATGTTACATAGTAGCTAGCACCCACAGATTGTAGTGAAATTCATTTAGGAGAGGTGACTTTTATCTTGATTTTTTTAACAGAGTAAAACAATTTTCCTTTTTAAAGAATGGGCAAGTTTTAATGTCCTCTGCAATTTTTTTTCTGATAGCTTTAAATATGTTTTAAAAGACCTATAGTTTATACAATGGCCTTTTCCTTTAATTATCAGGGCTAGATGTGTATGATTAAGAGAAAGATAAACATAATATCCCAGTGGACTATTACTTATCCTTTACATCTTCTTGGAATCAATCAGAATCATTAGCTTGCACAAAACTCATAACCCACTGATCCCCACACATATATTTTACAAATACAGTATGATTCTCTGTTTGATCGTTGAACAGAATGTTAGTCCAGGCATATTTATCTACCACAGGAAAGGATTCCTTCTATATTCTATCAAAGGTTCAGAAGAAATGCCCAGATCTCTGATGAGTTATAGATCAGTTGCAATAATTGGAAGGAAATGTAATCAACTAACCTCCAAATTATTCAGCTATGGTGATACTTTTTATTGTTTGCTAATGAATGGTAAACAAACTTGTCAGTAGTCATTGATTCTGGGGAAATGTGCTGTATAATTTATTCCAATAAACAGTATCATCTTTACTAACGGGATATGTCTCTTGATAACACTAGGGTTATTAAATACTGTTGAACAAAACCTTCAGTGTAATGAGATTGAAACTGTCTATATGGGGAAACAAAACTTTATTGTGGGAGAGAGAGTGAAGGCTGCCTTATCAGTGTTGACTTTATATTACCAGTGACACCTAATTAAGGGTTCACTATCCAGTTTTGAGGACTAATTAGAATTGCTATTTAATACATTTCAAACAAGAAAGGTTTATAAATAGCTGTTCATGTTCTGGCCTCTGTGTAGAATGTAGTCACATAGATTGAGTTTGTGATTTCCCCCCCTGATTTTTAAAATGCTCAGGTTTGTACATGATGGATATTGCAGTATCAGAGTACTGTTTTTTAAAATAATTGTCTTTCAGTAAATCAAAAATCATGAAGATACCATTGACAGTCCTGATCCACAAAAGTGAGCAGATTGTATGATTCTCTTTTTAGTAGTCTATAAAGATATCGGCGACTCTTGCAATTGTATTTTGTAATGACCTACAGCTCCCCTTTATTTCACAAAGATACCAATATAATTTTTTTTTTGGGTAGAAGATGGAAAGCACAGCTTTTACAATGAAACGGATATACTTTCGAGTTATTAAAAAACCTTCCATTTTGGCATACTATGAGATGTAATGCTAGAAACCTAACCCAATTTAGCGATATGTATGTTGTACCAGCATAATTTTTGCACCATCACGTCTTTTTTTTTTTTTTTGTATCTAATGTAAAATCTTCCCTTCTTCGGCCACTGTAGTGGAAATATTTATGCTTTTGGATTTGCTACCCTAATGTAAATGTAAAATCTTCCCTTCGGCCACTGTAGTGGAAATATCTATGCTTTTGGATTTGCTACCCTAATGTAAATGAGTGACTATGCAAAGTGCACTCATAGAGCTCTTGTTTCTCATTTGGAATGAGGTGATGATTATTTGGAGACGCCTATAGGCCATGTGTTGCGTCTACTGAAATTGGTCAAAGGCATCTGAGCTTTTCTAAAGGTGCACTGATGCTGTTTGCTACCACCATCCGATGAGATCTTTATTACCATTTTTAAAGGATTCTTCTAATTGGCTGTTCTAATTGTATAGTGCAGTATTAGATGCCAAAGGCCAACTTGAGAAATAAGGTAAAAGGTCATAGCTAGGTAGACAATTACTTCTTTCTTGCAATAATCAAATTATTTATTATAGAAAATCCACAATAATCAGGAGTGTATCAAGAGTCATATATGGACCACACAACTAACATTGTCCTGGATGGGGTTTAAAGGTAAAGGTTCCCCTTGACATTCTTAGTCCAGCCATGTCCGACTCTAGGGGGTGGTGCTCATCCCTTTTTCAAGCCGTAGAGCCAGCACTTGTCTAAAAACAGTTTCCGTTGTCACATGGCCAGCGTGACTAGGGAACATCATTTTACCTTCCCACCGAGGTGATACCTATTTATCTACTCGCATTTGCATGCTTTCTAACTGCTAGGTTGGTGAGGAGCTGGGACAGAGGCTTCTGCTAGGAGAATCTATACAAGAACTTATTAAAATAACAGCCCATTGTCTAAGTACTGTAGTGTTACAATGATTTTTTTTGCCTGTAATACCTTAGCTTCCTTGCTTAATGAATTTAAGGTCAAACTAGGCCCTATTTCTTTCTCCATGGTCTTTCCCTTATGGAGGACAGGAGTCTGTTTTTAAAATCAGAGGTCAATGGATTAAAACACTTTGTATGTTCCTTCTCAATATATGCTTTATTGATTATGGCAATTTCTTCAAGACAGACTCACTATTTGAAGTGTCTAAAAAAAATTGAATTTGAATAGAGAAGAGTTGTGACATACGTTTCAGATGGAGCTTTTTCTGCCTCATCTCCTCATTTTTTTTCTGCTTGTTATCTTAATATCAGACTAAATCTGACAGCATGTATGAACAGAGAAGACATCTGAACAACAAATTCCAGAGAAATAGCCATGTTAGTCTTCTCAGCATTCTGGAAAGATTAAACAGAAGAGAAATTAAAGGAAAAAGAAAAGATGGGCTAGAAAAACAAGGACAAAATATTGTGACACTTTCAAGATTCACAAATTTGTTTTACTGTGAGCTTGCATGAATCAAAATCCCTTTCTTCTGAAGAAGTGGGTTTTGAACCATGAAAGGATATACTGAAACAATTTGGTTAGTCCTTGAAATGTTTCTTTAAAATATACTGTTTTCTCCTTTTTTCTTTTTCTGTTTCCCTTCTTTCCTTTTAAATTTTGCCAACATGCTGAACAATAAATGGGGCTGCTACCTCAGCACATGGATGGGGCTGATTTGTGTTTGTCTGTGTAGCCAAGCAGATCAAGAGCCATGTGCCAGAAGAAGGGTGGCCCTGCCTACATTGGGCATGTGAATGTGCCTTTTGCTACTATGTCTCCCCGAAGTGTTTGCTTGGAGCCAATGCTGACCATGGGTGAAAAACAAAATCCATGCTCCTGAGATAAAGTAGCACATATTCAAACTAATTCCTCTGAAATCAGTAGGATATCTAAAAAGAGCATGATCTATTGCTATGAGATGGTGAGACTGGGGAAGTCTAATTCCACATGGTCAAGTTTTAATTTGCAGATCTTATCAAAGTTCTGATATTGTACAAAAAAAGAGAGAGAGATTAAACTCTTATGCAGAAGCAACTCTTAAGAAGTAGATTGTCTTGATCATGTTCTGCTGGATATTAAATACCTTTTATGTATGCTTCTTTCAAAGATTTTAGATTGTGGACACTACATTTACAATGCTTTTTTTTTAATGGACACAGATCTGAAGCATTACAACTTTAAAAAATAAATTGAAATAAATAAATATAGCTTACAATGATTTACCAGAAGATAAAATCATTTTAGAACTTTTTTTACAATAAAATGTGAAACTCATAAGGTTAGCCATCTAATCTTAGGGTTATTAGAGTTGTGAAGGACAAAGATTATTAGCAGTCATTGCAGAATTGAAGTGTGAGGATAAATGACTTGAACTTGGTTTTGATGAGAAATGTCTTCTTCATTTTGTTGCAGTTTAGATTTAGAATGCTGCAGCCTATCATCAAGGAGTATGTTTTACTTAAGTTCACATTCCCATTTGTTAAGCATTTCTGTGTTGTAATACTATATCAGTAAGAAACATAAGAAATATATAATTAAAGGAAATCATATTTGTTTACATTCAACAAATATGCACTCAAAGAATTTTGCCTTAGCATTTCCCCTGAGAAACACTGGATTTCCCACATCATGTGAAACAAAAGCAAACGTGATTGGCTCTCAACGTGTATCTCATTTTTTAAAGATTTCCTGATCTGGTAGGAGAAAGCTAAATGCAGTAATGAATCTGAGAGAACTGTTTTAATCACTCCAGTAACCAGGTGCTGTACAAATAAGAATAGGTTTTTTTAGAGATACAGGAAGGCCCCAGAAAGACTAGAAAAACAAGAACCACTGTCAATCAAGTTGCCTTACCTGCCTCCAGGTACAGTTGCTGAGGGTTCCATATCAGACCTTGAGGGATAGGCAACTGAAATGTTCCCTTAATGGTATGGCTCTTGCTCCTTTCATGTAGTTGGGCCTTCACATGACCATGCGGGTGCCTGAGCAGTGTGGCGTGACGCAGTCACTTCCAATGTGTATGACATAACCAGAGAATGGAGATTCAAATATCCACTCGTTCTGTGAACAGATTTTTCAGCAGCAGCCACTCTCGTGTCACTTGACACTGAGAGAGACGTTAAGAGGTCTTGCCAATACAGGAATGGTGGGGCATTCGTCCAAAGGCTGGGAAAACGACACAAGGTGCTTGGTCAGGAAATGTCAATAAATAAATGTCAATAAACTGAGCCTCGTGGCACAATGGTTAAAATGCTGTACTGCAGCTAAAACTGTGCTCATGACCTGGGGTTCAAATTCCAGGTAGCCGGCTCAAGGTTGACTCAGCCTTCCATCCTTCCAAGGTCGGTAAAATGAGTACCCAGACCTTGAGGGATGGGCAACTGAAATGTTCCCTTAATGGTATGGCTCTTGCTCCTTTCATGTAGTTGGGCCTTCACATGACCATGCGGGTGCCTGAGCAGTGTGGCGTGACGCAGTCACTTCCAATGTGTATGACATAACCAGAGAATGGAGATTCAAATATCCACTCGTTCTGTGAACAGATTTTTCAGCAGCAGCCACTCTCGTGTCACTTGACACTGAGAGAGACGTTAAGAGGTCTTGCCAATACAGGAATGGTGGGGCATTCGTCCAAAGGCTGGGAAAACGACACGAGGTGCTTGGTCAGGAAATGTCAATAAATGACAATTATGCTTCACAGAGATTACTTAGCATGGCAAAAGTAGCAACATTGCTGGAAATCTCTGTTCCTGATAGGTTTGTAACTCTGCACCTCTGTAGCCCCCACCCTATTTTCTCAGAACAACACAAAAGCTTTTTTCTTACTTTCCCAAATCATATTTATGGAGAGAAAATAAGGTTATCCTATGTGTTCTAACTGCAAAATGAATGTTTTCTAACATAATCAAAACTGATATTTTAAATAGGTGACTCCATTATTTTCATGTCACATCAGGAGACTGTGACTAGTCAGTAATGCATTTCTATAACTTTCTCGCCTTCTATTCATTTATTTTTGCTGTTCATTTTACATTGTCAGAATTAGAGTTGGAGGTGAGAGTGGTAAACAGATGAGATTTTGGAAGGAAATCTGTAGGGAAAATTCTATAAAGCAGGATGATTTGTTATTGATACTGGTTGTAGCGAAAAGAGCTGAACACGTCTTATTCACCCTTTGTTTCCTCTGCTTTAGATGCTAATGAAGAAGCTAACATCTAGAGCAAATTGGTCTGTTCCATAAGGAAACTCTTTTTTTGCATGTATTTAACAGACCAGTTGAATTGGACAGCAAGAGGAAGACAGATTGGCTCAAGGACTGTGGGTCTTTAACTTACTTGAAATAATATCTGGTCATGCTGGAAAAATGTATGTTCTACCTTTGTTCTGCCAGTGAAAATTCATCTGGAAAAGTTTCTGGACCACCTATCTCAAACCCATAGCTGAATGAAGAGTTAAAACTTGTATATCTGGCATGACCCAATCCCATCAGTAAAAGTGGAAGCATTATCTGAATGGGTGATTTCTGTTGCAGAGTTTTGAATTTCTGGTAAAATTCTCTTTTTGCTTCTCAGCAGAAGTACAGAGATCCAAAGGGGAGAATAGCTTTAAGTTCTCCAGAGTCAACCCCATCTTATTAACCGGCATTTAAAGTCTCAGTAACTAGCTCTGAGACATTTGTAGAAGACAGAATAAAAAACATTTCTTTACTTGCTGTTGTTTGAAATTACAGTCTTGTGTATACTGCTTTCTTTACTGCATACATAACTAGTAACCAACTGAACAGATCAACAGCTACTAGCAACTGCCTCCAGTCAACAAAAGAGAAGGATAGAACACTCTGCAGAGAGGCAGGGCTTTCTTTGCATTCAAAGGGTGGAAGGAACAATTGGTTAGTGCTGGATAACAGAGAATCACCCCAGGCCAGGAGAGTCACTCCCATTCACTTAAATTACAGACAACATGTGGGGTTGTAAATAAAACTATAGCAATGTCTCTCCCCTGGAAGGATCTGTCCAGGAGAGACACAGCCAGGATTCGATAAGAGGACAAGGTTACCCTCTGATGTCACTGGTCAAAGTTTGGTAGTCCTGTTCCAGGGGCACAGCTTCCATGGGACAGAGTTGCAATTTTTCCGTCACCTTTATCTGCTTCGTAAGCCTTTGCATCAAGAAGCACAAGCCCAGGATTGTTCAGTCAATACCTCCCAGCATTACCTTTGTTGTCTGTAGCTAACATACCATGTTTCTTCTCTCCCCCCCCCTTCCCTTCCCTTCCCTTCCCTTCTTAAACAAACACTTCCATGCTTGAAGTGCTTTTTCTGCTTGTAGAAAAGTTATAGGCAGGGATGTAGCAGAATGGTGCTCTGATTAAAGTGATTAAAACTATATACAGTCTGCATAATTAACCTTTGCACTGGCTGTCACAGGGAGCTGATGTATTTAGCCGATACTGTATCTATCCACAGCAGCCAGATCGCATGCTACATGACCAGTTTTCTCTCCCTTTAAGTATTTTAATCACTTGAGATAAAGCGCCAGGAGGAGGTTGGAGGAAGAGATCAAGGCAGTATTAATCCTTTCAATGGCTTTATAATTTTCCCCACTCTTCTGTTGCTCATAATCAAGAAAAAGAATCCTACCTTAATCCTGGATACCAAGGTCAATCATTTTTGAGCCTTTCTGATATTAATGATGTGATATCTGTCAAAAGATTATTTAATGAACATAATGCCACTTTTCATAACTTGATGAGGTGAGATGAATGAGTGTTTTTAACACTGCTTAGGTTCTGAAAAAAAACAATGCAATGTGTGTGTGTGTGTTACTGGGGAGTTGGGGAGAGAACTGTCCTTTTGCTGCAGAGGTTAAGATGTAGAAAATAATGTTGTAACTCATTAACAGTTGGTCAAGCAGCGGGAAGGCCACATTAGCAAAGACAGACTTGAAAAATGCAGAGGGAAAGCAATACCAGGTGGAACAAGAACCGAGGGTGGATGGGGGAACAGAGGGCAGAGAGGAAATTGGTGTCCCCGGTGATTAGCCTGAGTGTAAGAAAATCAAAAGGTCATGGTAGACAGCAAGTGGGAATACAACATTGCTAAACATTAGGTCCCCTTGGTGGAAACCTGCCAAAATGATGCACAGGCAAGCAGAGTTTCCTCTAAGTTGGGCACTCCATTAGAGAAACATGCTAGGTGATTAGGCTTGTGGACTGTATGACCTTTTAAAAGGCATGTGTCTTTTTGAGAGGGTAGCACTGAATCTCTGGCACCTTGCAGCAAAACTGGATTCTTGACTTTGGATGAAAAGCTATGCAAAGTTCTCCTGTTTTTGGCTAGACAATTTTGGCTGTTCATTTGTACAGTGCCTTGAAACAACAACCCTGTGGTCTGAATAATGGTAGGACCAACTATACTGTCTGCTGCACTCTTTATTTAAGTGCTGTATTACCTGCTGCTGTCGCCATCTTCTGAAAAAAAAAAGAAATTAAGAAAAATGAATCTGCCTTAAAGACTGGACATTTTCTTCAGTTGAATGAGGTGAAAATGTAGGTGTTTGATGAATTCTGAATGTGTACTCATTTCTTGGTAGTCATAGACCACAAATTGGATCAATTCCTTAAATATTCAGTTGATACCAGTTTATTTTGTGTTTCTGTCTCTGACTAGATTTCCCACTATAGTGACTAGTGAGAATTGCTCAATATTTCAGGCTTATCATTTAGAAGCCTGTATGAATTTGTTGCTCATCAAAAGCTTAGGCAATGTGTTAATAGGAGTCCTTTACTGTTATTAAGCCTTTCATACACACCTCATAAAACTACAGTGGGGTCTCTACTTAAGAACGTCCCTACTTAAGAACAATCCAACTTAAGAACAGCTCCATTTGCTAAATTTTGCTTCTACTTGAGAACAGAAATCCAAGATAAGAACAGGAAAAAAACCTTTCCTGCTCTTTTTTTAACCTTAGGTCATCTTAGGTTAAAAAAAATTCTCCCCCTAGTGGTAGAGTATGTAATAACCAGCTTTGCATTAGTTCCTATGGGAACTAATGCTTCAATGTACGAACACACCTCTACATAACAAAAAAAACAGAACGGATTAATTGGTTTTCACTCCATTCCTATGGGAAATTTTGCTTCAACTTAAGAACGTTTCAACTTAAGAACACCATTCCAAAACGGATTAAGTTCTGAAGTAGAGGTTCCACTGTAGTTTCTATGGATGGAAAAGAGCAGATACGGATTAAATGGTTTTCAGTGCATTCCTATGGGAAATGCAGATTCAACATAAGAACTTTTCAACTTGAGAACCACCTTCCAATACGGATTAAGTTCTTAAGTAGAGACCCCACTGTATGCCACTTGTACTGACAAGGCATGCTGCATAAAAAATTTATAGAAGGCTTTGTAAAAACAAATAAAAGCTGCATCAGTCATAACTGATTCATTTAAGACATGATATACATATATCTTGCTTTTCATGTATGTGCTACATACATTGAGAAGTCTGCTTCTAAATTTAGTGGCCTGTGTATGTTGTGTATAAGTGGGTCATGGACAGAGCAGGGGGGCACCTCAACCTAAAGTCGTGGGATTCCCCCAGTTCTGGCCATCTGCTGCCCATGATATATATAACAGGCTATGTGTAAAAGGTAAAAACATGAAATATCAGAACAGAAACAGTGCACACAGCAAAACAGAACAATATAAAAACTGTTGAATATGAGGAATAGACAGCTCAGTCTATTTCTGTAAATTACATAAGTTGTACGGAGGTCTGTGTTTATGCTCAGATTTGATTATCTCTTTGCTCTAACTTTTGATGGATTCTGTGTTGCTGAGAGAGAAAGCTATGCTGTGTGAGGTCTCATCTAACCATGGTGTCACAAATAGCAGGACTTATTCTGTGGTGAACGTAATTATGCTCCCATTAACTGAATGGTTACAAAAGAGCAGGGACACAGGATTTTGATCTAAAGTAGAATGTATCATACACAGGTGCTACAATACCCAAAGTTTATTTGCTGTGGGAGGGATGGGCACTCTGCGAACTTGCAGATGATGTTGGCAATACTGTCTAAGGCTGACTGGAGTTCTGGTTTAAAAATACTTGGAGGGGACATTCCCCATCCTGTCTTATAAAAAGACCATGTGGTAAACCTTTCCCTGCCACTCATGTCAGGGGTAAAAATCCACAGGTGCTACAATACCCAAAGTTTATTTGCTGTGGGAGGGATGGGCACTCTGCGAACTTGCAGATGATGTTGGCAATACTGTCTAAGGCTGACTGGAGTTCTGGTTTAAAAATACTTGGAGGGGACATTCCCCATCCTGTCTTATAAAAAGACCATGTGGTAAACCTTTCCCTGCCACTCATGTCAGGGGTAAAAATCAAATCTAATCTTACTGAAATATACTGCCCCTTTGACAGTATATTTCAGTTCTAAATGCACATTCCCCATGTTTTGAGTGGCAACCTTCCTGAATATATCACACCTGACCATGATGACACATACGTTCGTTGCAGACCATTTTGAGTATTGTAATGAACTCTCCGTGGGTTTGCCTTTGGCAAGCCAGTCACTGGGC